ATAAAAGTAATACGCAGCACAAATGTAACAGCCAATTTGAATTCCTCTTGATCTCAATCGCATTTCCCCCATTCACCCTCTCCTTCTATTCAACAATCTCGACAAGTCCTCGAGTTAACATGTACAAGCACCCATATCTACGTGTAACATTCGTGTGAACGATACTTTCAAAATAAGTAAATTACTTGCTTTGACGAAGAAAATAACTTGCTAACGCTCATTTAAGTAAACTTACTTTTAACAGAATTATTCGACCTTCACATGCCCATAAACTATTCACTTGAGTACCAGGATTCTTACATAGCTTAAGGGATATCCTTGCATAACTAGAAACTTGATTTGGTTTTAGCAACACACCAAAATGAAAAACATTATATATTTTACAAATCACAACACCTTGCTATATTAAGGATGGCATCACTTGCATTAGCCAAACTTTACCATGATGTCTGAGTCATTACAGCAGAAACCATGGAGTTCATTCCACACATCCCGTACCCACGGCATAATCGGTAGTATCCGTTTTCTCCCCAATTCTTACCCCACGAATTCTTGATGATCCAGTACGGCTTGTACCCCAATCTAAGAATCGAGAAACCTCTCGAGCCGTAGCCAACTAGAAGAACAGGTACCAACTCGGTGAAGAACGGTGAAATAAGCGGGCATGATACACCGCCTATGTAAGTTTGCATGAAAACTGCATTTATCCCCACTGCATATTCAAATTCAGGGTAAGAAAACCATAGATGCTAACCATGCAATTTAGAATATATTAATTGAAAAGAAAGAAGTCTTCGATCCTGTCACCACCCTCAATTGACAAAGCACGTGTGAATTGAACCCGCCTCTAAAAGGTCGTCCCACTCCAAAGATGTTTTGGGGCATCCCAACATTCATATACCTGTTAATCTGAAGTCCACCCCGCCTCATATGGTGAGGGAATGGAACCTACCGCTCTTTGCCACCAGAAAAGCTTTCATTGCAAATTGCAAGAGCAATCCCCTTCTTTTAATGATTTTTTTTTTTTGGGTGCAATGCAAGAGGTCATAGATAAACTGAGTTGACAATACAAAAAACACATTAACAAGCTCAGTATAACATTCTATTCTTCTTTTCTTTTCATATACCGTCCTAAAGATAGATCGTCAGAGTAAATTGGGCACTGCGCCTCTATGTTTGAGGCCGTAACTACATAGCGACTAGTGTCATTTTTTGTAGATCAACTCTTTATAAAGATGACGAAAGACCACCAAAGATCCTGGAGAACAACTTCAGCCCCACTGTCCACAGAATGCATTCACGCAATGCATAAAATTATTAATGTTCCCAGCAAAGAGTAATATACAAGGATCACAATTATTTCTTATACTGCTGCTTCAACAGCATCGGCGAAGAACGAGGCATATACTGAGCAAAATGAAATAAAGAGGAGTACCAAAGAACACTACCTGCAAGAGGGCCATGATTGACTAAATAGGCAGCAATCTGATTTTCATTCACTGGAATGCTGGTGAAATTCACAAGTTTAACGGCTACTTTCTCCAGCCTAAATTTACATTCATCACGTTTTCCGGTATAAGGATATGCATCCTCTTCTTCTATACCTCCTGCCCCGATCAAGTACTTGTAAGCATTTGTCATAAGTCCCCCAGAGCATCCATCATCACAAGCATCCTTCTCTGTTGCATCACACTACACGGTCCATGTAAAGTTTGATCAACAATATCAATATAAAGCTCGCTATGATCCATCTTCTGTGTTATAATATGCCAGTTCACTAATTACTGAAAATATGATGAAACTAACCACATGATCGCAGTCCACAAGCTGTTGCTCACTAAGACTCAGAAGTTTTCCAGTTTCAATGAAATTAGCGCCTTCAATAGCTCCCGTGGTGCTAAATGCCCAGCAAGAACCACAACTTCCCTGTAAAAAAGACAACGATATCCAACCATTATGATGAACATACTAACCAATGTTGCATGTTTGAATCAAACTATGTATTATTTGTGAAATTCCAACAACCAACATATAAGAGCCATCAGATCTGTTAAGCTCAATTTGATCCGTCTAAAATTCAAATGAATATATGAATTTTAAAATTGTTGTGTTCAAACCAGCCTCCATCTTGGGAGGCATATCAAGTGTAAAAATCTCACATCCATTAAATTACAAAAATAATAACTAACATGCATGGGTTGGGCTACTCTAAATTTTAAGCGGGCATATATTCATCGTGTTGAAAAAACAAAAATTATTATGTCCACAAAATTTTGGCACCGATAAATTGTAGTGGGATATAAAAATTTTAGAGATGGGGCAATCGAATCGAGTCAACATATGGACTCACTAAGTCACGTGTAGATGCCCTCTAAACAAGAATTATAAATAATCACTAGTCGGGATTCCCTAAAATGCGTGGATATACTTATTCATCACATCAAATTCACGAGTTCCTCTAAATTCAATCATCAAATTATGACATAGTCTGACTGATTTTAATAATTTAAAAGGCCAGAAATTTTTTTATTAAGAATTATGGTAACAAAAGGAAAATCAATAATGTTCTGAGAAATGAATATCCCTAACTTTTTTTTATTTTTACACTTATGTTCTCAATTTTCTTATTTTGTTTAATTTTTATCATAGGCCCGCTATTAATTTTCGCATTTTATCTACAGTGACTTGATTTTCACATCTTATCTATAGAGATAATTTTCGTCCAAGATATTTGTTATGAGGGCCAAATAGATGTATTTCTCTCTCGTATCTTTAAATAATTGAAATAAACAAATAATACATAAGTTAAACAAAATATTTGTCCATCTTTTTGATAAACGTTGGTAGAATATTTGAATGAAAATCGTGATTAGAGACAAAAAAATATGTTAATTAATTAAACTTTAAGAATGACAATGTAAGAAGAAAAAAGTAGAGGATATAAAAGCTAATGTAATTAAAATGTAGCGCAGTAATTGTGTGAATATAATTATCCTATAATTAATACTTACATTTTTTTCTAATACACTCCTACATTAAATAAAGATTCAAATAGAAGTAGTTCGTATTCATTGACATTAAATAACGATATATTAAAAAATTAAAAAATTAACTACTCTAAATTAAGAAGGGCCTATAATATGAAACAAACAAAAAAAGAAATTCAGCTTACCTCTATGGAACGGGTAAGTAATATACAATATTACTTGTGAAAAATGCATGAAGTTTTTATATGGGATGAACGCAGTTCGATTTGAGCGTTTTGTGTCATTTTTTCAACTCAAACAATTTCATGCGGTTTGGAATTTTTTCAAACCAAACCAAACCATAATTTGCGGATTGGTTCGGTTTTAATCTGCAGTTTACCTATCAACATTATATTAATATATTTAAAATAAGTTAACATATAAATTTAAACGAGAACTAAAAATGTTAAATGTTAAATTACATTTACCTTTCTCACGAAACCCGTGAATATATTATTTTCAAAGTTGGTTGCTAAAAGATATAAATAGAATAAATATATATTTCTTCCTTTTTATTTATCTTTTCTTGTTTGTCTTCTTTC